AGCAGGACTTCTTACAGGAAAGTCCAAAAATGGGCATGCTCTGAATTTTTGTTCCACAAACAACAATTTGCATTTCCACACGCAATGAAGATAAATTTACATGGTTGGGAAGAATCTTTACATACAGTACTATAAATACTTTACTGCTTTCACTTTGTTGGAGTTCATCAACTTACCTTACCTACCTTGAGGTTACCTTGAGATGGTTTCGGGGATTAACGTTCCCACGGCCCAGTCCTCGATCAGGCCTCCTCGTTGCTGGACTGGTCAACCAGGCTGTTGGACATGGTGCTCGCAGCCTGATGTATGAGTCACAGCCTGGTTGATCAGGTATCCTTTGAAGGGGCTTATCAAGTTCTCTCTTGAACACAGAGGTCGGCCAGTTATACCCCTTATGTGTAGTGGAAGCGTGTTGAACAGTCTCAAGCCTCTGATGTTGATACAGTTCTCTCTCAGAGTACCTATTGCACTTCTGCTCTTCAACTGGGGGTATTCCGCACATTCTGCCATGCCTTCTGGTCTCATGTGGTGTTATTTCTGTGTGCAGGTTTGGGACCAGCCCCTCTACTATTTTCCACGTGTAAATTATTATGTATCTCTCCCGCCTACACTCAAGAGAATACAGATTTAGGCCTTTTAGTCGGTCCCAGTAGTTTAGATGCTTTACTGAATGGATTCTAGCAGTAAAGGATCTCTGCACGCTCTCCAGGTAGGCAATATTCCCAGCTTTGAAAGGGGCTGTCATTGTGCAACAGTATTCCACTCTAGAGAGCACAATTTTCTTGAAAAGTATCATCATTAGTATAGCATCTTTTAAGTGTGAAAAGTTCTTGTTATACCACCTGTTATTTTTTTTCTTGCAGTTGTAACAGCTACTTTATTGTGTTCTTTAAAAGTAAGGTCTTCCAACACGAGTACATTGCCTTTTCGTTCTATGTTATGATTTGACTGCATTTTGTAAGTGGTTTCCATTTTTATATTTTCATTTTTTCCGTAGCATATGAGCTGGAACTTATCTTCGTTAAACATATTATTTTCTGTAGCTCAAAGACCTTATTTACATCAGGTCTTTCTATGAGCTGTTTGCAATGTCCTCTATATTGTCTACTCTCATAAAAATCCTAGTGTCATCTACAAAGGAAGATACAGTACTATAGATTGTGTCCTTGTCTATGTCCGACTTGAGGATGAGAAAAAGTACTGCAGCAAGCACAGTACCCTGAGGGACCGAGCTCTTCACGGTTGATAGATCGGATTTTATTTTGTTGACTATTACACATTGGGTTCCATTAGTCAGAAAATTGTAGATCCATCTTTTGTCTTCCATGGCATCTAAGGCCATGTCATAGTGGTCTAGCAACTGTTATAGGCAAGAGTGCCCTGTTCTGAAATCATGTTGTTCAGGGTTATAGAGATGCTGGGATTCCATGCATTTTGTGATCTTACTTCTTAGCACTCTTTCAAAGATTTTTATGATGTGTGATGTTAGTGCTATTGGTCTGTAATTGTTTGCCTGTCTTATTTTCCTCCTTTATGAAGTGGTGCTATCTCTGCTGTTTTTAGTATGTCAGGGATAATGGCAGTATCTAGGCTCTGTCTCCAAAGAATGTGAAGGACATGCAATAATTTTTTTTTACAGTTCTTGATGAATATAGTGTTCCGAGAATCAGGGCCTGGTGCAGAGTGCATAGGCATACTGTCTATGGCTTTTTCATAATCCACTGGGGATAGGATGACAGCTGATATATGATTTGATGTTGGTATCACATCTATGAAAAATTCATTTGGATTATGAATCTTCATTGTGTTTAGTGGCTCACTGAAGACAGTCATTTCGATTCCTCAGTATTTCGCTCATTTCCTTGTCGTCATCTGTGAAAGTTCCCATCACCCTTTCACAGATGAAAATGAAAAGCTTGCTTGTGACTTTTTTTTCAACTTCATCGAGAACTTGCTCGATGAAAGGCTACAATATCTTATAGTTAGGACCTCATTTAACACAACACAACACTAAAATTACTGAACATGAGCTTTGTGTTCCCTTATATCACAGATGGTACTCATGCCTATACAAAATCCTTTACAACATTCACAGCAGAATGGCCATTTTCACAAAATTCAATCACTCATGGCTTATTTTGAATAGAAAGCAGAGAGTAGATGGGCAGCAAAGAGTAGGCAGATGATAGGGTGAGTGAGTGGGCATTTGGACAGGTGGGAAGCAGTGGGCAGTTAGGCAACAGAACGTGAGTCGAGAAGACACCATTAAAGAACCCATCTGCTTGCCAGAGACTGTGATAAAGATACGTAAAGAATGCTAGATGCGAAGGGCCGAGGTCAAACCAGTGAGATATGGCACCGGGCCAATCTTCTAAAAAATGCAGAACGATGGAAAAATACCCATCACTAATGCAACCTGCCTCTCCTGAACACTTCACAATTGACACCACCTGCCTTCCCGACACCACTACCACTACCTGACAACTTCCACCACTGACAACATGCCTCATGCCTACTTCCACCACTGATACCACCTGCCTCCCCTGACACTACCTGCATTCATTAACATTCATTACTAACACCATCTGCCTACCCTGCCAACAACTTCCACCACTTGCCTCTTCTGACAACTTCCAACATTGACAGTACCTGCCTTCCCTGACACCATTAACACTACTTGCCTCCCCTACCACTAACACCACATGCCTCCTGACAACTTCCACCACTTCCAACATCTGCCTCACCTGACACTACCTACCTTCAGTGACATTCACTATTAACACCACCTGCCTCCCCTGACAACAACTTCCACCACTGACACCACCCGCCTTTTATAACACCACTGTCACCACCTGCCTCTCCTGACAACTTCCACCATTGACACCACTTGCTTCCAAAGAGAATAACTTCCACCACTTGCCCCCAGACACTAAATCCCAGCTACAGTACTGGCATCACTTTCCCCCCTGACATCAATCCTCACCAGACACACACCACCTGCCCCCCCCCCACCCCTGGAACCATTTTATCATCGACCAGACCACACACTAGAAGTTGAAGGGACGATGACGTTTCGGTCCGTCCTGAACCATTCTCAAGTCGGTTGTCGTCCTGGACCATTCTCACAATCGACTTGAGAATGGTCCAGGACGGACCGAAACGTCGTCGTCCCTTCAACTTTTAGTGTGAGGTCTGGTAAACATACTTCAGCCACGTTATTATGACTCATCGCCTGCATTTTATCATCCTTCAACCACTTCTCCCTGGAAACAATGGGTAAGCAAAATAAAATGCTGTACAACTGTTTACACTTTGGTTGATAAGGTTATCAACCAAATCATCATCTTTGGTTATCATAGTTGATAACAGCCACCTCTGACAATTGGTCTCGGTGAACACTTGGACGAAAAACCCTTGCTTAACCCTTCCACTGCTTAGGGGTCCTGAGGACATTTACACCCCTGTGCGCAAGAAAAAAAAAAATTCTAAAAAATTATTTTTTCTTCTTAAAATGTTAGTGTGTGTTCCCTAAGCACGGAAAAAATAAAAAAAAAATCGTAGGCGACATATTTTGGGCGCAATTGACCGAGGAAGTCTGGCAAAAAGTGGGCGTTGACAGAGCGGTCATCAGAGCCGGTCAGCGTCACCCGCGCTGACAGGTGGGAGTTGCCACAAAGATATTATCACTTAATTATTTCAATGTCTCCGATTGATTTTTCTTAGTTTTTTGCAGTAATATTATTCAATAGTGTGTTTTGTGATTTATATTTATATATTAAAAGTGGTGAATAATCGCTATACTCAAAGGTATGGTGTGCATATTAGTGATTCAATTATTATGTTCATAAAACAAACAAATAGTTTTGCTGTTATTACACTCTATACACAGGTTATATATAAGTATCTGCATGTTTTGTTCACCATAAACTACTAAGTTGGTATTGAGAGTAAAAGCAATTAGGCGTGACCGCCACACTCCAGCCAGCCACTTGTTGCCACTCCCTCAACAACGCTTCACTCGCCCACTTTCTCTTCCCACCATCCCCACCATCCTGTTTTATATTTTGTTCACAATATACAGACGTTATATATAAGTATCTACATGTTTTGTTCACCACAACTGTACAACTAAGCTGATATAGTTAGTTCAGGCACTAAGAGTCGTCGCTACACACAGTCAGCTTGCGGCTCCCTCACTCATTCAAGGTCACACGCACTAAACTTTCTCCCCCAACAATATAAATATATCACAATTCACACTATTGAATAATATTACCACAAAAAACTAAGAAAAAATCAGTCAGAGACATTGAAATAATTAGGTAATAATATATTTGTGGCAACTGCCGCCCAACAGCTCGGGCGGAGTAGACCTCGTCTGGCGAAGGCTCTGTCAACATCCCTTTTTTGCCAGACTTCCCTACCCTACTGCGGCTAAAATATGCCACCTACGAATTTTTTTTTTTTTTTTCCGTGATCAGGGAACAAAAATGAACACTTTTATAAGACGAAAGAATTTTTTGGATTTTTTTTTTATTGCTCCTGTGGGTGTTGAAGCCATTTGAACCCCTCGCGGTTTGAGGGTTAATGGTTCAGGAAGGTCAGATTGCTCTGATAGCAAGGACAGGACTGACTCATTGTTGGCTTAGGAGCCTGGAGTTCCTGGTGTGACATGCTGCTGGCTTTTTTGCAATGGGAGTTTGAGCATATTTAGAATGATCTGGAATTGAGTGAATCATTTGCAGAGTTATTTGATTGTTTTGGTGCTTCATTTTCTGAAAACCTAGTACAGTAGTTGTTTACATAGCTTTGGTTACTTTTTTAATGTTTTCTCTGTGGGGGATCATAATCTCCAGCTCTGGCTGTGGTTTCCAGTAGGCAATACAGGACTTCTATGACTGATGTGACTCGTACTGGGAAAGCCTCCAGAGGGGTCTTCTAGAAAAATACACATTTTACTAAATTCCAAATATATTACATGCAGTGATATTAAATCTTACCCCATTACGAGCTTTATCTTCCGAGTACTGAGCAGCAACTTCATTAAATTTCATACCAGACTTGATTTTCTCAAGAGCTTCTAAACTTTTACTCTGCTTTTCACACAAGATATGCCGAACCTGAAAATAATGCAAAACTTTAATGTACAGTAGTAAGAAATGAAACTGAAGTAAAAAGGAATCATACAATTTTTGCGATTAATTTATAATACTAGTACAGTACAGTACTGACCTGTATACAGGGGCACCTCGGTTTAAGAATTTAATCCGTTCCTGGAGACGGTTCGTAACCCAAAAATTCGTAAACCGAAGCGAATTTCCCCGTAAGAAATAATGGGAAATGTATTAATCTGTTCCTGACTTCCCAAAAACTTCACTTCAAAGTAAATTTTATACCTAATTCACCCAAATCTTCACTACAAAAGTATGTTCAAGTTATTACTTACCCTTGCTGATGACTCCTGTTGGCGTATGGAAGATGGTGAGGAAGGGGGAGGAGGAGAGGTGTTACTGTTTGGAAGGGGAGTCTCCTTCCATTATAACATCAGGCAGTGATGACTTCTCTGGGGTACACACACTGGCACGTTTTTGCCTGCATACCACTAAGACCTGCTTCTGGCTCGCAGCATGATTTTCCCATGGTTTTTCTTGAAGTTTGTTTTTTCCTTCTTTGTAACACTTGTCTGTAGTGAGACATCACATTGTCATTAATAAGATCAATGCAACGGCCTGCTAAAGCTTTATCTGGGTGATTCTTTTCAGCAAAACTTTGCAGTTCTTCCCATACTGCACACATTTTCTAAATAAACGAGGAAGGGACATCCTCTACTGCCGCCTCCTCCTCCCCTGAAGATTTGTTATTCTGTACTGCCTAGCTAGTTCAACAACATGTGTACCCTTTTCATGTTTACGAATGATCTCGTTTTTCCTAGCCAAAAATCCGAAAAGAAACTGTAAATCCTTGTAAAGAATTCAGGCGGGACAGTCACTGGGCGCGAGGCACTGGTAAACTGAGGTGCGATCGCCGTGCCACCACGCACTCGGTCGGCTGTACACGTATCAACAAACTCATATCCCGAGGTAAAATTCGTATCCCGATTCAAATTTTCCAAACAAATTGGGCTCATAACCCGAAAAGTTTGTAAACAGGGGCATTCGTAAACAGAGTTACCACTGTATATATAAGTGATACCTCTCTCTCTATTTTCAGACAGTACATTTTGTGTGCTTTGACACTGTCCCAGTTGTGCAGCAAAATTCAACAAAATCCTAGTCAACTATGTAACGTCATATAATCCAAACATTTGAGCCGCCAACTAGTGGTTTGAATATTATCCACAGTGGAACCTCAAAGAACGAATTTAATCCGTTCTGGCACCGTGATCGTCACGTCAAACGGACGTCATACAAAACTCATTTTCCCATTGACAATAATGGAAACCAAATTAATCCGTTCTACCACCAAAAATCATCAATATGATATGTGATGTTTTAAATAATGGAGCAGCCTACCTTACATGCACTGAACAAACCCTTATGACAGTTTTCTTTCTTCAAATTTGTTTAACACTTTAGTACGATCATGTTTTTCATGATCGTATGTTTTTCATGATCATGTTATGTTTTTCGTTTTTTTATAGCAAACGGTTCGTTCGGTGTTCGGCAGGTAGGCTGCTGTATGTTTCTTAAATAAAAAAAAATAAAAAAAAGTTTAAACAATTTGAAAAACAGACAAATGCCATAAAGGTTCGTTCAGTGTTTGTCGGGTAGGCTGCTCCATTATGACAATCTTTCTTTGTTTCAAATGTGTTCCATTTGTTTTGAATTTTTCATTTATGTCTCAATAATGGAGCAGCCTACCCGACAAACAATGAACAAAACTTTATGGCATTTGTCCATTTTTCAAATGGTTTCAACTGTTTTTTTATTTTTTTTTTAATTTAAGAAACATGGAGCAGTCTACCTGCAGAACACCAAATGAACCTTTTTGACATTTGTTGTTTTTCACAAAATGTCATTTCCTTTTCTACAAAAAAGTCAATGCTTTGCAACATCACACCTATCACCCCTTTATATCCCAGCATCATTAGCATCTTTAAAAAAAAAAAAAAAAAATTTATTTACATCGTCGGAGGCATCCGAGAATGTGCGAGAAGCAGCGTGACCCCACCATGTGGTGTTGTCGTTATTCAAACGAGCGATCGCCATATGAGACGAATTGTCGGCGATCCGGGCACTCATTACCCAAAATGCTCGCCAATTGAGGCGGTCGTCACTCGAGGTTTTACTGTATTGCAAATGGGTCTCGTAGTACAATTGGCTTTGTTCTCTATTCACAAGATGCTATGTTCTCTATGCTCAAGGAGCTCGGTAAGAACAAAGCAGCTGGCCCAGATGGCGTTTCACCATGGGTTCTGAGAGAATGTGCATCTGAGCTCAGCATTCCACTTCACCTGATCTTTCAGGCATCCCTGTGTACAGGAATCGTAGCAGACGTGTGGAAACAGGCTAACATAGTTCCAATCTAGAAAAGTGGCAGCAGGGAAGACCCCCTCAATTATAGACCTGTATCATTGACAAGTGTAATAGTGAAAGTATTGGAAAAACTAATCAAAACTAAATGGGTAGAACACCTAGAGAGAAATGATATAATATCAGACAGACAGTATGGTTTTTGATCTGGAAGATCCTGTGTATCGAATTTACTCAGTTTCTATGATCGAGCCACAGAGATATTACAGGAAAGAGATGGTTGGGTTGACTGCATCTATCTGAACCTAAAAAAGGCTTTCGACAGAGTTCCACATAAGAGGTTGTTCTGGAAACTGGAAAATATTGGAGGGGTGACAGGTAAGCTTCTATCATGGATGAAAAATTTTCTGACTGATAGAAAAATGAGGGCAGTAATCAGAGGCAATGTATCGGAATGGAGAAATGTCACAAGTGGAGTACCACAGGGTTCAGTTCTTGCACCAGTGATGTTTATTGTGTACATAAATGGTCTACCAGTTGGTATACAGAATTATGTGAACATGTTTGCTGATGATGCTAAGATAATAGGAAGGATAAGAAATTTAGATGATTGTCATGCCCTTCAAGAAGACCTGGACAAAATAAGTAGATGGAGCACCACTTGGCAAATGGAATTTAATGTTAATAAATGTCATGTTATGGAATGTGGAATAGGAGAACATAGACCCCACACAACCTATATATTATGTGAGAAATCTCTAAAGAATTCTGATAAAGAAAGAGATCTAGGGGTGGTTCTAGATAGAAAACTATCACCTGAGGACCACAAAGAATATTGTGCAAGGAACCTATGCTATGCTTTCTAACTTCAGAATTGCATTTAAATACATGGATGGCGATATACTAAAGAAATTGTTCATGACTTTTGTTAGGCCAAAGCTAGAATATGCAGCTGTTGTGTGGTGCCCATATCTTAAGAAGCACATCAACAAACTGGAAAAGGTGCAAAGACATGCTACTAAATGGCTCCCAGAACTGAAGGGTAAGAGCTACGAGGAGAGGTTAGAAGCATTAAACATGCCAAAACTAGAAGACAGAAGAAAAAGAGGTGATATGATCACTACATACAAAATAGTAACAGGAATTGATAAAATCGAAAGGGAAGATTTCCCGAGACCTGGCACTTCAAGAACAAGAGGTCATAGATTTAAACTAGGAGGCCTGGTCGACGACCGGGCCGCGGGGACACTAAGCCCCGGAAGCACCTCAAGGTAGCTAAACACAGATGCCGAAGAAATATAAGAAAATTCACCTTCGCAAATAGAGTGGTAGACGGTTGGAACAAGTTAAGTGAGAAGGTGGTGGAGGCCAAGACCGTCAGTAGTTTCAAAGCGTTATATGACAAAGAGTGCTGGGAAGACGGGACACCACGAGCGTAGCTCTCATCCTGTAACTACACTTAGGTAATTACACTTAGGTAATTACAAGTGGGGATACTAGAGTTTGAGTCCCTAGCGGGACAGAAATTGTTGGTCACATTTTTCTGTCATCTAATGCTCTTGTTCAAACTGCAGTAAATAGGTGTCCAGGAGTTAGGCAACTATCGTCTGGTTGCATTCTGGCAAGGTTAGCAGTTCAACCTTGGGGCAGACCTCGATGCAAGCCTAACGTATGCACGTACAGTACATGCTTCCTGTCTCCCGACAAAACCAATTAAAACACTATGAAGCAACTTTTTTGTAAAGAGAAAATCCCTGACACTAAATGATTTTAACTTATCTTGAAATCCATGACACAAATAAAGTTTAACGTACACATTGTTTATTCATACCTTTTCTTTATTGTTGACCAAGTTCTTTCTCTTGGTGGTTATTCATGTCTTAGTTGAAATACCATGTTAATAAATACTGTAACTGCTAGTGAAAATTTTTAGGAAGGTCAAAAGGGGAGGGGGGAGAAAGGAAAGACATTTGAAAAGAGGATCACCTCCTCTTGGGGTCAACATTGTTGACAATTAATTTTTTAATTTTGCGAGTACAATGGGGCCTCAACTTACGATGCTAATCCATTCCCAGAGATGGATCGTAAGTCGAAATATCGTAAGTCAAAGCGATTTTTCCCATAAGAAATAAAGGGAATTGAATTAATCTGTTCCCCACCCTCCAAAATATTAACATACAAATACATTTTATACTGAATACAATGTTTTTTTCTAACTACAATACAGTACCAAAGTGTCTCTTACCTTTATGGAGGGCTCTTGATGGCATATGGTGATGAGGGGGGAGGAAGAGAGTTGTTCCTGTTTGGAAGGGGAGTCCCCTTCCATTATCACATCAGGCAGTGATGTTTTCTCTGGGGTACTCTCTCCTACGTTTTGCCTGAATACCACTAGGACCTGGTTGTGGTTCAGTGCTTGTTTGTCTCACTACAAATTTGTCAAGATACATTTGTTTTTCCCTTCATTTTAACATTTGTCTGTGATGATGCATCACAGTGTCATTGAATAGGTTAAGGCAACGACCTACTGCAGCTTGATTTGGGCGAGTCGTTTCAGCAAAGGTTTGCAATTCTTCCCATGCTGCACACTTTCTTAATTGTTGAGGAAGAGACATTCTGTAATCTTGTTTCTGCTCTATGGTCATCCT